GGGGGGGGAAGAGGACGGGGGGGGGGGGGGAAGAGGACGGAGCAAAGGTAGCTGGGGAGGAAGAGCAGGGACCGTGGTGCCCTGCAGTGGGGTCCGCTCCCCGCACCCCCGGCCGGGCTTTCCGCACCAGCACCCTGGATTTTATCCGGCTGCGAGGCCATGGAGGTGCCCAGGACTGAGGTTGGCATTTTCCCGGCTGTCATCCCATGGATCTCTCTGGCTGTCACCTGGGGTAGAGCTGGGTGACAAGGACAAGCCAACCCGTCTGTCCACCAGGGAAGGAGCTCCCTGCGCTGGGAACCAGCTCGTCTCCGGAGGAGGCTGATGCAGGTGAGTGAGGCTGCAGCAAAGCAAGGGCAGGGACGAGGGTCCGAGGAGCAGGACATGGGCACTGGCACCCAGGGGTGCTCTAGGGTCCGGTCCCACATGTAGGTGACCCCAAACAGGGAGGACTGGGGTGTCCGAGCCCCCCTGGCTGCCCTGCCTGGCACAGCCAAAAACCATCCATCTCCCCTCACAGGTGGCATCACCTTGGGCTTGCGGAGCATCTCTAACTGCTGCTACTGCCTTTCTCCTAATGCCATTGGGGTCAGGACGTCCCAAAGAAAGTCCTGCTGCCTGCGGGACCCACGGCAGGGCCTCTCCTTGCCCCGGCCAGAGCCACGCTTCTCCGCTACACATTAACCGGCTGTTTATCTGCCAAGCGTTGCGCCAGGTCCCCTCCATGTCACCACCTCCAGGGGATTTTGGGGGGTAGTGCTGAGGGGTCACTAGCTCCTGTGAGCCCCAAGAAAGGTGCTCAGCCTGGTCAAACAGGGTCAAGCCAGAGAGGGCGAGACATGACAGAGCAAGTGCCAGCCATCGGAGGAGGATCGGAGCGCACAGTCTGCTTGTTCCTCGCTCACCAGTACACACCAAACAGGAGCCTAGTTCCCAGTTCCCAGCACCGGGGCTCGTTTCCCCATGCCCCAGGGCTTCAGAGACCACTTTCACCCCTCTATCAGCTCAGCTTGTCCTCGCTGCTAAGAGCAGCTGGCAGCCAGAGCATCGCCAGCAGGTCTGAAGCATGTTTTTGCTCCAGACATCTGCCCCGTTAGCCATTAATCCAGCTGGCAGAGGAACGCGGGGGGCCGCCAGCACTCAGCTACGTCACCGTGCCAGCCAGTACAACTAACGGCGGTTGTTTAACGGCTGTAGCCGTGACAAAGGGAGCTGAAAGGTGCTAGACGGAGCTGGTGGGACTGTGATTTCTCCTTTTTTTGAGAAAAAGGATGAGAATTCAGTCTCTCGTCCCCCCTGGTTGCAGCTTACACTTACTAGCAATCGCAGTGTCAGTAATATCAACTCCTTGGGCTGCCGAGGGTACCAGGCACAGACACATCACCGTTGAGCATCAGCCTCTGGCAACTGGCACCTCACACAAGCTAAAGGGGAGAAAAAAAAAAAAAAAAAAACGATTTCACATACAGCAGTGTCAAAAGGACCTTTGCAAAAGGCCCTTTGACTAACAAGTGACTAATAACCGGCTGTTAAAATAAGCCACCAAGGACTCAAATCCCCAGCCCTGATGAAGCACAAGGGAAGTTAAATTTTCCCTGCGGCTGCACCTCCTCCTGCCGCAGCCCACTGCCTGGATGCATGCAGCTTCTTGCAGTCCCCTTCCAGCCAGCTCAAGCCCCCCCAGCACCCAGGGAGCAGCCAAAGCCGGCGCAAGCAAGGGGGAAAAGGTGGAACGTGGCTGAGAGCACGATTCCCAGTTTTGAGGGAACCTGGACGCAGGTTTTTGGTGGAGCAGGAGGTGCTGGTATCCCCCGGTGGTGCTGGCTGTGGACGTCATGGCAGTCGCACTTATAATTTGGCTTTTCAACTCCTATCCCCTTGGATGCTGTGCTCCAAACCTTCGTTTTGGTGGGGACAGCAGCAGGCCAGAGGCAGCCCGTGCTGCACCCGACATGTAGGACAGTTTGGGTCCTCTCCGCACTCATCGGCTGCTCGCAGCCCTGCTGTGAAGTCTCTTCGAGCCCCTGGAGCTCACCGATCCTCTCCAAGGGCAGCTGGAAGCTTTAAATTTTTGACACACTGAGCTACACAGCACAGCTGCCTCGGGGTGGAAGATGAGAGCCACAGTGATTGAAAACGGTTAAAAAAACCAAACCCTCCGGGATTTTGCTCAAAAGCTTGCCTCCCCCCGAGAGGCAGCAGTGCAGCCAAGCCCTGCAGGGCCACATTTGGCAGCTGCCTGGATGCTGGCAGCTCCGTACCTGCAGCAGCTCACATTTGCTGGCACCTCTCAGATCCCACCTCTACTTTGCTTCTAGGGGACCTGCTGAATGAAGCGGAGACAAGCCAGAGGGTGAGCAACCCCCCAGGCTCTGCATGGATTGGAATGGGGAAACCTGCCTGCAGTAAGAGCCCAGGGCAGCAGGAAAACCCCAGCTTCTTCCTTCGAGCTCTCTTCCTCCTCCTCTTCTGCAGGCATGGTAAGGATCTGCATGGGCAGAGCCGTATCCCTGGCAAGGATACCCATGGGAGCTGCAGCCCCAGGGTGCAGGGAGGGTACAACCACGGCAGAGCTCCTGGGAGGTGCCTGGAGCAAGCAGAAGATCCTCTCGTCGCAGCCGTAAGGCTCAGGCAGTATCAGCGTGCCCTTGGCCCGCCACAGCCAGAGGGAAGGGCAGGCAGCATTCCCACCAGCATCGCCCGCCCCTACCAGGGTAGCCTCAGCAAGGAGAGCATCCCCCTGCTCTCCTGCAGCAGGCTGTTTCCCTTGGGAGAACCCTTAAAAGCTCTATTATCTCCCAAGATAAGACAGGGACAGCAGGGCACAGGGACCAGCCAAATTCCAAGGTCTTCCAGCGAAAGGCACCGGCCGCATCCATCACTCAGTCCCTCGCTTTCCTCCCTGCAACCCAGACAATCTACTAGGAGGGCTGAGCCCCACATCCTGCAAAACCTAAATTCACACACACCCCCAGCAACACCCAGCCCATCCCTTATAACCCCTCTGCTTAATGAGCTAAATGATCCCCGCGGGGGCCAGTTCCTTAGCTCTCCTGGGGCTGTGGCACATGGCACTGCCTTCCGTAGCACGGAGGAATCACATTTGAGGGGCAGGATGTCCTTGGTGCGGTCAAGCCTAGCACGAAAAAACGATTGCACGGCCCGGCCAAGGTTGAAATGGGAAGAAGGGGTTTCGCAGCTCAGGAATTCCCGTTTGTCCCCGGCAAGCCCTGGGGCGAAGAATCTCCGTCTGAGCCACCTCCCAGGGCCTCAGTCACAACTGCTGCCCTGGTTCTCGGCAATGCTCGTGCCCCAGGTACAATCTCACATCCCAGTGGCTTCAGGACCCCCCTTCGGCGCCGTGACGGCCCTCCGCGCCGGGCTCCAGCCTGTTTCTGCAGCAGGCAACCCTGGATTCGTTCCCCTCGGGCACGTAAGCAGCAGGTCATTTAAACTGGCCGCTGCGTTCATTAATATAGGGAGAGAAGTGCTTCCAAAAAGCGTCTCCATCATGAGATCTGGAGTGGGCCAGATGGTGGGAGGTGGTGGGAGGAGAAGGGGCTGCCCTTCCCCGCTCCTACAGCTCTACTGGGATGCCTCGGGCCGTCCCGTCTCTCCCAGTTTCTTCCCAGTGCAAGATCCTGCGCTGCAACTCGGAGTACGTGGCTGCCACCCTCAACCTGCGCGGCTCCAACAGGAACGCGGCGTACTGCAACGCCCTCCGCTCCTACTCCCACTGCACCCGCAAGACGGCTCGCACATGCCGGGGCGACCTGGCCTACCACTCCGCCGTCCACGGCATCGAGGACCTCATGATCCAGAACAACTGCTCCAAGGAGGGTCCCACATCGCCGCCCCGACCCCGGCCCCCGGCCCCCAACCATCAGGGCTTCGAGTCTCTCGATATCTGCAACTACGAGAAGAGTTTTCTCTACAAGCACGGCCAGCCCCCCAGCTACCAGCACTGCGCGGCTTTCGGGGACCCCCATATCCGCACTTTCCATGATGACTTCCACACTTGCCGAGTGGAGGGCTCCTGGCCTCTCTTGGACAATGACTACTTGTTTGTGCAAGCAACCAGCTCTCCGGTGGCGAAGGGGTCCAACGCTACGGTCACTAGCAAGGTAACGCTCGCGCATAGGGCTTGGCAGCAAACCCACGCACCTCCGGGATGCAGCGACGGCCTAGGGCACTCCCTACGCTCCCTAAAATGGCCGGGGAGGGCAGCAACAGCTTCAGCTAAACCCACATGGGATCAGGAATTAACGTCTGCAGGAACAAGTGGGATGAAGGTCCTTGAGGGGAACAGAGAGACCTGCAAACGCTCCTGGGGGATGGGTTACTGCGTGGTCCGTGGGTTACCTGCATGCAGTCTATCCGGGCTTGGCCCCGTCTCAGTTTTCAGTTGCTTAAACGGTATTAAAGAAAGGAGGAAACAAAGGGAGGAAAGAAGGAAACATTGCTGTCTTCCCCAAAGGACTGCAGCAATGTGGGAGAGACGGTTTGGGGCAGAGGGGGATGGATCGGTGAGGCAGACGTGCGCAGTCTGCTTTGCCCTCCCCTAGAGAGCTGATACCTGGGGTGGGGGAACACGGCCGCCACTCTCGCACCCGGCAAGTCAGATCAAACCCCCTCTGATCTGCTCTCTGCAGCTCACCATCATCTTCAAGAACATGAAGGAATGCATCGACCAGAAGGTCTACCAGGCTGAGATAGACAGCCTCCCGGCAGCCTTCGAGGACGGCTCGGTGAACGGGGGCGAGAGGCCGGGCGGGAGCAGCTTGGCTATCCGGGAGCGCAGCCCTGGGCGGCACGTGGAGATCCGTGCGGAGTACATCGGCACCACCATCGCCGTCCGTCAGGCCGGCCGCCAGCTCTCCTTCTCCATCCGGGCAGCCGAGGAGGTGGCGCGCGCCTTCACGGAGGAGCAAGACCTGCAGCTTTGCGTGGGCGGCTGCCCCCGCAGCCAGCGCATCTCCCGCAGCGAGTGCTGCCGCGGCCGCGTGGCGGCGGAGACGGCTCGGGCGCTCTGCAAGGAGATGCTGCCCGTGGAGGACGTCTACTTCCAGTCATGCGTCTTCGATGTGGTGACCTCGGGGGATGCCAACTTCACCATGGCGGCTCACGGCGCCCTGGAGGATGCCAGGGTCTTCCTTCCCAACGCTGAGAAACTGCACATCTTCCAGGCTGGGGCAGGCTGCCCGCGCATCTCTTCTTCCTTCCTCCTCCTCCTCCTCCTCCTCACCTCTGGTCTTCGGGCTGTTTTGTTGCACTTTTAACTCTCGCTGGCATTGCATACAGCAGAGGGGACACATCCAGCCAGTCCAAGAGAACTGCTGACTCAAGACCCATGCCGTGCGGATCAAGAGGGATGCCTTACCTGGGATCACGTCTCTCTGCAGCAATAAAGAATCGGAGACCCAGACCTTTGGAGAGGGGACCACTGGAGCTGAAAGGCGGTGAGACGCTGGCTTGCATCCGCTGTTCTTGCACGTACGGCACCGGTTGAACCTGGTTCCTCTCCCGAAGGCAGATCACGGGTTTTTCTGTTGGATTGTGATGCAATTTTTTTTTTCTAAAGATGAGGACGTTGCAGCCCTATCAAAGAAAAAGAAACACACGGGGTGAAGACACGTTTAGAAAACCTCTCTGCCCCTCAAAGCCTTTCCATAAACTTGCTTCACACCTTTCTTCCAGTGTCACTACAGCAGAGTTTTACTCAGGAACCCTACAGATTCAGAAATAATGGGCCCAAAGCCCAGACCCCAATTTTTAGAAGTCAAAAATGTTGTCTGGTGGATTTGGGGCCCCTTCACCCAGCTGCTACCAAAGCAATGCGAGAGTGAAGCAAGGCAGTAAGTTGGTTATCGGAGTGCCGTGACGAAGGTTTGAGATTTTTGAGCTAGAAATCACCCATTTGGTACTGTGTTCTCCTCGCTCTGGATTAGTAACGTGCTAATTTCCAGCGTCGGGAGCTGCAGAGCGTCAGGTCTCTGGCATTTCAGGCTACCGTTGCTATTTTTCCTTGTTGTCTTGGCACCTGTCTAGGACTCAATATAGCCAGTTCTGGACTTTGGACCAGCGTTGAGTTTCAGTGAGGAAAAATACCCCTTGGCATTCCCCTCCCTTGGGCCCAACTTTCTCCGTCGCTGCCACAACCCCGTTCAAATCCAACCCAGACTGTGGGTTTGACGTGCAAAAGAGAGTTAGTAATGGAGACGCGGAGCTGGCAAAAAGCCATGCGGCTGTATCGATGGGCAGGGGAACGACTAGCAGATGTACATACATCGAGAGGTGAGGCCAAATTAGATGTTTAATATATTTAAGAGGTTTTAAGTAAAGCAGATAGAGTATATGATAAGAAATATTTTCCATATGCAAAGACTTTTTTTTTAATAAAGAGGGCTCACATTAAAAACTTTGCCGTTCCTGTCCCGTGGAGCCGTAAGAAGAGCCTTGCAAAGCCCTAGCCTTGTGGAGGCAAAGAATTAAGCTGGCAGACGCGGGCAGGATTTGGGCATGCCGCTCGGGGAAGGAGAACGGCAGACCATCCAGGTACGGAGGATCTGTCGAGCTGTAAAGGGAGGTTTTACAATTCACGTTTCAGTATATCTGCAGTCTCTTTGGTCAGGTTTGTGGGTTTTTTTTCCCTCTGGTTCTTCTGCCGAGGGCACAAAGAGTAAATACAGAAATGTTTCTTCGATATCTCAGCATATTTCCTCCTCCGACACGCGCTCAAAGCACACGGTGACTAGCGTGAGAGTTTCTCTGTTTCTTGCATGGTGCTCTCGCTAATCCCAGAAGGTTTTGACATTAAAGGTGTCTATTTTTGAAGTCCTCATTTCCTGTCATCTGTCTCTTTATTTCGTTGGTCGGCAGCAGCAGGTGAAGATAATAATATCTCGCCTTCCACCCACTGCTCCTTTTACTCTGGAGCATTTTGTGGTCTATATATACATGCACTGAATGAGGAGAGGAAGCCAGCCTGCCTCGCTGCTACGCTCCACCACTTTGCAGGAGCCTGCAGGTCCCCGTGGGAGCAACGTTCCCCGCAGGGATAAAATCCTCAGGAGCCCTTAAGAGGCTGCAGGGTTGATAGTGCTGGAGCTCCTTATAGAAACAGGATTGGCTTGATCCAGTAATAAAAGGTAGCCACCTCCAGGGCGCGAAACAGCAGCTCTTCAACAGCACCCAGCGATGCTACGCAACAGCCAGAAACAGTGGCACGGACACGCTGCAGGGACAGATTTTATGATGCAGAATATAATTATCCTTTAGATTTTGGCCAACGGAGCCAATCAACAAGAATGCCATGGGGAAAGCGGGGCTTTCCTCATGGAGAGATGAGGATCTCGCTGGCTGATGACCCTTGCAGGTGAGCGGGTCCACACTGGCCCCCCAGATCCAGCCTCTCGGTACCTCCGCGGTCATAAAATGGGGACAGAAGAGTCCCCAGGACCCGCCAGCAATGTGAAGGCGGTGGAGGTGATCCTGCGCGAGCCCTGGGCACGTGGGCATGGCAGGGAAGTGGCGCAGCAGAGCCTGGCCCACCACGTGTCTCGTAGCATCACGCTAGCTCCGTCCCCACCGAGGAGCGTGGCGAGTGCTAACCCAGAGCTTTCCAGGAGGGTTGTTACTCAGACTCACTCTTCCCAACCTGCTCGGGAACTTCCCACCCAGGAAGGGGGCAACGAGTGGGGCTCCACGGGCTTTGCTCCCACTGAAAAGAAGAGCAGAGTTTCCTGGATCTACCTGTGAAAGGCGGATTCAAGACCCCTCACACATCATCCACCTGACAAACCCCAAAGCCCGTGAGAATCGTGGAGTATCTCAAGTTGGAAGGGACCCATAAGGACCATCGAGTCCAACTCCCTGCTCCTCGCAGGACTACCTAAAACTAAACCATATGACTAAGAGCATCGTCCAGATGCTCCTTGAAGAGAGGACTTTGGCCAGCACTCTCTGGAAGAGGTGAGCCGGACCGCCCCGAGCAGCTCGCGGAGGTCCGAAGCTCTGGTTCTGGTTGGAGCAGGTATCGGGGAGTCACAGCACGTCAACAAGGCCACCACCTCCCTCACACGCGATGCAGATGCTTAAACGTGAGCTGCAGCCTGGCGGGGGTCCAGCAACGCAGAAGGAGCGTGCACAGCGTTGAATGGGTTTGCGCCTGTTCTCCAAATTGTTCTGTACTCTGCATCCTCAACTTAATGATTGCAGAGGAAGCAAGACCTTTCAAAGGCGTGCTAAAGTCTCTAAGTAGAAAAGAGACCTTTCCACCCCTGACAGATTGCAGTCTGAAATAAAGAAGTGGAACGTAGGCGTGGATCCAAGCCCCACTGATGTCAACAAGAGTATTTCCATTGACGTCAGTAGACTTTGGATCAAGCCCTTAAATTTCCTAGCATATGTCACCTGCTAAAAAAGACACCGGCGACACCGGCCAGCATTTTCAAAAGCGAGCCCAGTTTGGGCCGTTCTGCATCCAGACGCCCAACCTGGGCGGTTGGAGCAAGGGAATTCCCAGTCTGGATCAGACCTGGGGTTCGCCTGCCCTGGTAGGCGGTTGTCAACAGCAGCCAGCACCGGGTCTCGCAGGAAGGTGTGAGAAGTCTGGGACAATCCGCTCCTCTTACAGCCCGTCTCGCTCTGATCTCTAGTAGTTAGAGAAATGCCAAGGCCTTGGGGCATGAGGTGTAGTAGCCAAACCTGAACCTTCATTAGCAGCTGCTTCTACGTGTCATAAAGCAGCCTGATCATCAGAGGTGGCCACGTTTGCCAGCTCCCGGTGTTGCGGTGAGGGCACGCAGCTGTGTAAGTTGGAGCTGCCAAGCCTCTAACCTGCAAACCAGAGCCGTCCGAATCAGAAGCAGGTCTCCAAAACGGCAGCGCCGGTTTAGGAGCCGCCCAAACGTGCAGCTCTCCTCGGCGTGTTTCCTGCCAAATCCCGGCATGTTTTGTTAGCAAGATGTTAAGGCCAAGGCGAGAACTTCCTCCACCAAGTTCAGGGTTAGATTCGGCTTCCTCACGTTCGCAAGGGCCAACGCCTTCAGCAGCATCACCAGCAGGGAACGTGGCTGAAACGGGCACGTCTCGGTGCGGAATGCTTCCTCGCGTTCCTCCTCATCTGGCATGAAAAATAACCTCAAATCACAGAAAAAAGAAATAAATAAATAAGCTGCCAGCGGGCATTTGGGCAGCAGGTGGAGAGAAGCCAGATCTCAGGAGGTCCAACCTCCCCGTTGTCCTCATGAAGTGGCAAATGCCACGGTTGTCAGCCTCTTACAGCCGTTCCTCCTTCTTCTTCTTGTAAATACACGAAGTAAAGATTAACGCTCATTCTCACTTCTACAAATACACAAGCAGCACGCTCAAAACGCAAGAAATTGGCCCAAAACGCGAGAAATCGGCCCACAACAGCCAAATTTAAACGCAGCTCCACTTGCCCCCTCTTAAACTTTGTAGCTAGGACTGGGCAGGCCGAATACACCCGTACCATTAGCCTGTCGCGTGTGTAAGCCGAACAACCAGCCCGCGTGGGTGGATGGAGGAAAACCACTGCCGTGTCGTTCCCGGCAAGGCCTCTAGATGTCTGCACAACCCAAAGTATGAGAAGGACTTCGGAGGAGTCGGCAGCTCCACAGGCCAGGAGATGTCCATCCTCACCCCGAACACCGCGAAATGCCCCCCCGTAAAGGTTCCACCGTTTGGCCTCGTCGCCTGCGAGATCAGCGAGGGTGAAGGAGGTCTAGGAGGGGATTGACACCCCCCCCCCCCCCAATTTTAGCCACCCAACCTGGTTCTCTCAATTCGGGATCTTGATGTTTGGGGTGGGCATCTCCGGTGAGGATCCCCTTGCCCCCAGGCACACCCACCCACACGCCGGCAGCCTCAGAGTAGCTCTGGTTTGCTGAAAAGTAAGAAATCTTCCGTATTTCTTTGCTCTCTCCAGCATCTGCGGCCCCGGCTGGGGCCTTTCAAGGGACAATTGGATGGAGCAGGGACGGAAGCTCAGGAAATCTTTTGCTTTGCGATACTTTCTCCTCCCTTCACAACAACGTATTTCAAACCCAGCTGACACCGAAGGCAAAGAGGACCTAGTTTGGCAAAGAGATGAGCTGGATTTGTTCTTTCAGAAGAGGGAAGCTCGGCCAACGGAGCCGAGAGCAGCAGGTTCAGCTGGCCCTGCTGCATGCCGGGAGCCCAGGAGAGGTCACGCTCTCCCAGCCGGAGGAAAGAGCTGCTGAGTCTTCCTGCCCAGAGCAGATGACAGACACGGGACTTCCCAAACCCTGAATTCAAATTCCTCCTTGCTTATGGATGACTGAGTTGAGTCTCTTGTCACAGGCTGTTGACACTTCGCTCCGGCTTTCCCCTTCCTCTGTTGCAAAAAGACAATCTGGCGGCCAGAAAAGCAGTGAAGAAATCCCACCGCGGCAAAGAACCATCTGTCAGGGAGAGCTTTCGCATTGCGCTCCTTGGCAGGAGCTGGAGAGCTGGGGCTCTGGGGGAAAAGCCCTCACGCCCGAGCCCCGAGAGGACTTCTCTCCGTTCAGCGGGGATGGGGAAGGGGAAAAGGGGATCCCGATCTGTGCCACGAAGCATTTCAAAACGGTATGCAGCCCGCACAACGCTACGAAGCACAGGCAGCGGCGACACAAGCCATCGCTGTGGACGAAAGCAGCAAAAAAAGCTGCTTTTCGAAACCCCTACCGGGGATCCGCCCTGAGAGCTTTCCAACCTGTTTCTGGTAGATCCCTGGAAACACCTCTGTATTCCAGCGCCCCGGCGGTGCTGTGCCCCCCCCCGCCGCAAGCCAGGCACCACAAACCTTAACAACCTCGCCAAAACTGTGGCTTTTATTCAGAAACTAAAACGGAGACACTCCCCTTGCTTCCCTGCCTGCTTTCAAACCTAGAAATCTTTTGCCGTTGAATCACGGCCGTGGCCACAGCCAAAG